ACGCGTACATCATTTTTATTCTGGAAAGCAGCATATGTTTCATTAGAAAAATTAACAAAACAATTTTTATACTAGAATCGGCAAGAGATTCGATACGTTGGCGAAGCAGTTAACTGAAAGCGCCATGATTATAACACGTTCAGTTGTAGAAGAGCAAAATCGCGAACGTAAGGTATTGATGGAACAGTTGAAACACACACGAGCATTAGAGGCTCAGGCAGTGGCCAGATGGAGAGACATAGCCAAGCGACTAACACACGAACGGGCGCCATGGCACTTTCCCGAAAGCTACCCAAGAAATTGGGAATTGGATCCAACTGAAGGCCCTGCGAGAGTCAGAATAAAACTTCAGAGATGTCACTTGAATATCGACAAAAGATTCTTTTTGCCTGAATATCAAGATAAATTAGGTGCGTCTGTCAAAATAAACATAAAATAGACAGTTAATCTTAACCAATACATTTCGCTGTACATAAGAAAATGTAATAAATTAGAGAAACTGTTTTAATTAATTTTATATTTTATAGCGTCTTCCAATATCGAAATGCCATTATCATATTTATTTACGAGTGCTCGTGAGGATGCCAATGCCGCTGCTCTGATCGAACGGTTGCATACGAGTGAAAAAATACGTAAAATGTCTCAGGCAAAAGTTGTCACACCTAGGGCTGAATTAGCCGGAGAAGTTCTCATCGGCGAGACGTGCGTGTATTTCGTTCCGGACAACCCCGATATGCCGTTACATACGGACGTGAGTAATTTTATTTTCTGCAATTATATTTGTTCAAATAATCAAAACTGGATTTCTTAATTATCGATAATTATAGATAGCATTGGGTGGTTTCGATTTGGCTGTGGCTGGTGGCACTGCTTGGCGTCTTGAGGATATTCGAGAATTGCACAGAAGAAGATATCAATTGCAAGAGAGAGCTATTGAAATCTTTCTTATTACTGGCAGAACATATTTGCTGGCATTCAATTCATCCAAAGAAAGAGACGAATTTGCGACAGAGCTATCCGCTTGCAATTTACCTAGGCGAATTCCCGGCGATGATTTGGGGGAAGCTTTAGCTTTGTGGAGGAATGGCGCACTCACCAATTGGGAATACATAACTTGCTTGAACAAATTGGCAGGACGTTCATATAATGACTTAATGCAATATCCCGTGTTCCCATTTGTTTTGGCAGATTACGTCAGTGAGAAGATCGACTTAAACAATCCAAAAATTTATCGGTAAGTAATAAGGAAAATATATGGCTTTAAATGTTCGAATATATCCAGATATATCTATGTATTTTACAGAAATTTTGAACGACCGATGGCTGTGCAAGATAAAAAGAATGAACAACATTACATAAATAATTATAATGTAAGCTACTTAAAATTGTTATTAATTATGCTTGACGTCTTTTGTAGTATTACTAATAATTTTATTTTTATGCAGTACTTGAAACAAACCTTAACAGAAGGATTAAACCTAATTGCCTTAAATCAAGGACCATTCCATTATGGCTCTCATTATAGTAATTCTGGAACTGTATTACATTTTTTGGTACGGCTTCCACCGTTTACTAGCATGTTCCTTTGTTATCAAGGTAGTCACAAAAAATACATTTGCAATTATATTTATCGAAAAATTCATTATTGTTAAAAACTGATTTTTATTTACAGATAATAATTTTGATATTCCTGATCGAACATTCCATGCATTAGCTACCACATGGAGATTAACTAGTTGCGATTCAACGACAGACGTAAAGGAATTAATACCGGAATTTTTCTATTTACCTGAATTTTTATTAAATTTTGAAGGTAAATCCAACTATATTACAATATTGAAAAAAATAACGTACTCATAAAATAATGTAAATATATTTATATCTATTATAGGATTTAATTTCGGTGTTCGACAAAATGGTAACAAAGTTGGAGATGTAGAATTACCGAAATGGTGCGGCGGCGACGCGCGTTTGTTCATATTGGCACACAGAGCCGCGCTAGAATCTGATATCGTAAGGGAGGTATTGCCATATTGGATCGATCTCGTCTTTGGATTCAGACAGACAGGAAGACCGGCAATAGAAGCTATAAATGTTTTTCATCCCGCAGTACGTTGTTCTTATTTATATTGTCCTTGCAATATATCCTCGAACGAATGAATGTTAATAATTCATTCCTTATATTTAGACTTATTATGGATTCGATGTAGAACAGATAACCGATCCTTTAGAACGTCAAGCTTGGGAAACCATGGTACGAACTTATGGTCAAACACCGGCGCAATTATTCAGAGCTCCCCATCCGTTGATTCAAAATCTCGGCAATATAGCAATGTCCAGTCAGACACCACAGGTCATTGAAGGAATCAATGGTAATATTGACTTTCTGTGATTTAAACTGTCAATTAATATCAGAAAAATTACATATTAAATCTATTAACTGTTGCAATTGTCCAATATAATTACAGGTATTAAATGGGGAAATTATGTAGGCGCACCTGGTAATGAGTCTATTTTATGTTGGAAACTTAAACATAAAACTCCATTAGCTTCTCTCGTTCCTTTGGCAACTGGTGACGTTTTTGGTTTGCCTAATTATACCACGCTTCTCCTGGGTTATACCAAAGAAAAAGGTAATTGATTTCATCATTGCATATCATTACATTATTTACACAATTCAAAGTTTTAGATAAGATAGAGATAATTAAAAATCTTTAATTATCATTTAATTATCAGGTAGCAGCATGTTAAATGGCATGTCTGTATTGGGTGCCGCATTAGCGTCATGGAATAGCACAGATGGAATTGCTAGATTAAAGTTTAAGAAGGAACAGCCGCCAAGGCCTTTAATTAAATCTTCAGGCCTCGATCCCGTAAGTATCTTAACATATATTTCATGATAAATAAGATAGTAATATGAAATAATCATAAAATTAAAAAGAATCAATTTTTTAAATCTGCAAGATTATTGAAATTATTTCTTTCAAGATAAAATAATTATAATATATAACGTTCAAAATTATTAAGATTACGACATTGGCATCTACTCCCGATTGCGGACAACTTTGGATTGGACATTTATCAGGCAGAATTACAGTATATGCATATACTGTGGGATCTTCGGGTAAAATTGAATTCAGTTTAGCATCCGCGACAGTACTTTTGGCTCATAGAAGTCGAGTAATGGTGATATCTCTGTCACGTACGTTTAGCATCGCTTGTTCCGGTGATGGCAACGGTATCATTGTTATTTGGGATTTAAATAGGTATGTGATAACATAAAAACATAAATAACAAATAAAAAAATTCTATTTTAGCTATATGTACAATTCATATGAGTCATCTATATTTTTATTTTGAAATAGCTTAACATATGTGAGGTCGATAGTCTGCAATCAGGTTTACGCGATACAACTTCTATGTATCAGTGAGACACTCGGAGATATAGCGGCTACTTACAATATTCTTAGATCAGAGGACAATTCAGCCAACAATCAATCCGAGTTGATAGTACATACTATAAACGCAAGGGCTGTCGGCTCAATTTTATCCAAAAGACGCGTAACGGCACTTTGTTACAGCAACGCACCGGAGGGTATATCTGTCAATGTCATCGCGACTGGTTTAGACAACGGAATAATAAGGTATACGACAAATACATTATTTTGGTGAAATCTACGAACAATTATCGAAACAAATTGTGTTGCTGATCACGCAGATTGTGGAGCAGTTGGGATCTGCAGTTAGTTAGAGAAATTCCAAATAACTTGAGAGATTGCGGCGCGATAATCGCTGTAGTGTGGCCACTGGATCAACATCATTTGTATGCGGTTACAGAAGACTTCACCGTTCTCATTTGGGAAGGATCTAAGCGTCTTAGCAACGGTACTCCGAAATTCGTCAACTTAACGTCGTATTGATCTGTGAAACTATTATCCGAATAATTTAAGAACAATTCGAAGAAAAATGGAATATCAATTGGTAGAACAACTTATATTTTCAGAACCTTATAGGGGGCATAAACATGATATTATTTTCTACATGTCAGTTGTAATGTTTATACTGACTTGCTCCCTTCTTCTATCATTTGTTAGTATTCTTACTTCTTTTTATTTTTAGTAGTTATTTTTCCATTCTGCGTTATTATTTAAGGATTAATACGTTTATTACTATAATCATGCTCGAATCTTTTTTTTTACAATTACAATCATGACATGTATTGAAGAAACGATGAACAATGCGATGAAGTATTATTTTTATCGACTCTTCCGATATAATAATAGTGATTATATATTTCGACTTATATTTTTTTATATATGCTTTTATATTGGATCATATTCATATAGATTATGTGTCTTATTTCATAATGTAATTTATATACATAAATTTTTATAGAATAATACAGCGACAAGACACATTTACACGAACTATTCGTTTTTCTCATGGTTGCATTCCTCATGCCTCATATCTCTGTACGAATGTATGTATATATGTATATGTATACCAAATAAATCTTTATTGCAATAAAACATACTGAATCTTATTTATCCAGCATAATTGCTTACCTTAAATTTCATTTAAGCAGGGCTCAATTATTTCATACATAGGGTAATATTTCGTCGTTCTCCTTGCAATTTGATCTGCAGTATCCCCACTTGAGTTGATCAAACGAGGATTTGTATCAGCATGCAACAGGAGAAGCTGTAGCGCAGGAGAGTTGTGCGAACTAGCAGAAACTAAATGTAAAGGCGTTTGATCCCCTTTGCTCTTAGCATTGATATCAGCTCCGTTTGTAATTAAGATCTCAGCACATTCTGTATTGTTCCAACAACATGCAGAGTGCAGAGGTTGCCAATCATCTTGAGTTTTAGCATCTATTTTTGCTCCTGCTTCAAGTAAATACTGTTGAGAGAAAAAAGGGATTGTATAGAAAACTTATGCTTCAGACAATTCTATAAGAAGTTAAGGAAAATGGAAACCTAATTTCCTCTCTTTCTTATTTCTAAATTTACCTCCACTACTTCCACATTATTGCCATAACATGCCCTGTGAAGCGGAGTATATCCATCTTTATCAGTGCAATTCAATAAGAGGTAGTTTTGACTCAATAATTTCTTAATTTTCTCCAGATTTCCCTTTTCAGCAGCGTTCAACATGGCCTTAGCATCAGGATCTGAAAGACATTATAAAACAGCCCCAAATTATTATTATTAATTCAATAGAGAAGTTCATGAGATTTTCAAGCTGTAGACATGATTTCATCTCCTTCATTTGTCGTGCATATTAATTTTCGAATATGACAAATATATTCCGGTAGAAATCCTAACCTCTCGCGTTACGTGCGGCTTCCACACCATCGTCGTCGTCCTCCCAGGCGCTCACTTGCATACGCTCGCTACGCGGAGTGTTAAGCATTTTGTCGCGTATCGCTTCTAGATCTTGTAATTCATCATTCTCTTCGTCCGATAACATGCTTCTATCTATTTCAAAACGTGACGTCTGACAACTGGAAGCATGCATAAACGATGCGTAATCTGTCCAAGCCATGTGCATCGAGTGCGAGGGGGGGGGAGGGGAGGAGAGGAGGTTTAAAGTTCAAACTACTTCCTGAAATAAAAAAAAATTAAAGTTAGGATTTACAAAATCTAATATTTTTTTCAAAATCAGGAATAAGGAGATATTCTAAATTCTGAAATATCCAAAAAGGCAATTTATGACACAAAAAATGATTTGATATCTATCAAATCAATAAACTCCCTCGAAAAAGATTCTGGATATGTCCACTAGAATTATCTGTCGATGAATTTAAAAATTTTTCATAATTTTCCGAGAAAACAAATTGTCGTTGAGTAATCAAAAAGATTGTTAACAATATGGAATCAATTATAACTTCTTTAATGTTTTGAATTTTGAATGAATTTTTTGTAATAAAGAAAGGTGTATATATTAGAAGGAATATGCAACTTATTTTTAAAAAGTAAAAAATAAAAAGTTAAATAGTGTGCACGAAGCACGCGTTTGTGATGTCCTAATTTCTTTCTAAAAAAGATATAGCATTTCGAATATATTGATGTTAAAACTTTTAACTTAACTTTTTTTCTTGTTGATTGATTCTATCGCTACGTTCACTTCATGAACAGATCATAAAATAGAAATCACATATTTTGATAATTTTATGTATCGAGAATAATCTAATTCAGAGAAAACTGTCGATACGCACGATTTTTTAGAACACTATTTAAATATTTGACAACGAGTAACATTTGAAAAAAGCAATCTCTTTTCGTTTGTCTTCCAAAAATATTGCAGTTAATCACAATGTTTGTAAGCTGCGCAAAATGGATTGCTTGAAGTTACTGGAAACTCTGGATGTATTCGGCTGTGCCGGTATTTGCATAAGTACTGAAAGTTCGCAGCTGCTGCAGAATTCGCTGCTCATTTTGCAAACGGAAAATCACTTTAAAAAATGTTACTATTGGGGCAGAATTCATGGGCTACAGAATGATTACCATATCGCGTTCGGTTTCGAAAAGGATTGCATGAACGGTCAAATATATTATTACAGGTAAGAATTCTTTGGATTTTGAAAAATACTATTGAAATAAAAATAAATCTCATGAAGCAAGCTTACCATTTTTTTAAATATTGTGGGAAAGAAATGTTAATTTAATTTGGATACTTAAAGTTAAAGTCACAAAGCCAATCTCGAATTTTGAAATTTAAAAGTTAATTACTTAAATAGATTTTTTTTTGTGTCGTTTTAATGTTCGTCGTGAACGCATTAAGATATATTAGAGTGAAGAAATATATTTCTTTTTACAGTACAGATGGGATGAATTGGCTCTTGCTGCCTAAAGCGACGAAATACCGGACGACTTCCTGAGTCCCTTGGCAATTAATAAATTCGAAGGCGATCCGTCCATTGTTATAAATGTTTATGATGCCAATCCACCGTTTCCACCGAATGAGGATCCCCAGACTTATTATGATGTAATTGCGAATAGTGATTCTTCCTGTAAATTTTCCATGAGAAAAATTGACTTAAAAATTCTAAAAACTTATAAAATTTGGGATATTAATATATTTTAACAATTATCCTTTTTACGTACTGAAGAATCTAGTTCAGTCCGCATATTAGAGGAGTGTAAAATCATGTTTTAGGGCCCTCTGCCGAAGGAATTAAAAGAAGAGGATCGTCTTGCAGCCACTGTAGAATTTATCACTCAAGATGCTGCAATCATTCCGCGAGGGGCTTGGTTCAAGTGTCCGAATGGTGACGTGATTGAGAATCCAAGTTTTGGGGGTCTATGTGCATTAGACGCCTCGCAGCTAAAATCCTACTTGCATGCTCGTCTCCCGAAGGAAAAATGGAACGTGAATTTATTATCCCGACCTGATTACAATTATGCGTTGGATTTTCTGGATAGCATAGATCTGGATGTTCCTCAAGGTAATATTACAAGCGGCGACAAAACATAATCTTTCGCGTTAAAGACAGAGGGACGGGAAGGGCGTCCGCTCGTCTCAAAAAGAAATGATTTTCTTTGCGAATAGAAGAAGATTATATTATAAAGTTTAATACGGCATTATTTTAATGTTATTTCTGCTTCTACTTGATAATCCATTATATGCATAGTATGGTTTTCTTCTTATTTGCAGAATGTTGGAATCTGCAGTGTCTGCTGGGCGGTCGCCTGATTGTTCTACATAGTCTATATTGGCAGGGAATGACTTTCTTCCATAGGGTGAATTCTCCGCATTATGGATTTTTATACGTCGGACATGGAAAAAAGAATCTAGATCTTCCATTCATGATCTAATACAAATACATGTACGACTATAACATGAAAATGATGTTAATGTTAATAAATAATAATGCAGAATAATATATAAATTTCAAGCATGAATCAGAGGTGACAAACAACTTTATTTAATTTATTTTAATGTGTGGTCTGCGATCAAGGAAATGTAGCGAGTTGCAGAAATGAAATGTCTGTTGAACGATCGGTTAATCGATATGCCCGTCGAAATAATTCGTAAAGCCATTGTCCTTAACGTCCGCTTCCCGTCACGAAAATCCGTTGTTTGCCCGTATTTCCGTGTGACCGCCTCCGTTTTTGATGACCCACGAATTCGCGACAACGTTAAATTTCGTGCTTCCTGCGGAAAGCCTGTGCTTCCTCACGCCGGTCTGGCACTCAGAATTCCGCGAAGAGAAACCCGCGTGGTTACGAAATGGATCAAATCGAAAAAAAATTAGCGAGACACTTCGAGAAACACAAAATATTCCTGTCATTTTTTTTGTTAACTTTATAAAGTCGTCACTTAAAAAATTTAATTATTATCAATTTAAAAATTTAATTATTATCCATTTATAAAAAGACCGTATAAGACTTTAATTATTGACACTTTTTTGCAACGTTGCTTTGTTCACTTCAGCGAAGTATAATTGTTAAATGTTAATATAAATATTTATGTATTAAATAATGTATTAAATTATTAAATTTAATTATTAAAATTAAAATTTTTCTAAAGAAATGTCAAATAAAATTTTTTTTATCATTCGAACTTACTACAGAGTACATTCAGGTTCTTATCGCAAATCGTAATTATTTACATTTCAGTCTGTCATAATTTTTAAAATATTCTAACATTCCGTGCTTTTTCTCGCCGCCATGATAGTTTTCGCAAGCGTCAGTTGCGAAAAGACGTAGCGCGATCGCTCCGTAAGTAATTGCGAATTTTACTCGTTAACAGTGCATAATGGACGCAAATTTTTTGTAAGAGTGTCGATTATGGTGGGCGATCATTGGAGAAGATTATCGCGAATTTTCATAATCATATACTTGGTCGTGGCATCGTGTCAATTCAAGACTAATATAATTCCATAAGTACAAATTCCGATGACATTGATACGCGAAAATGTTCCTTATAGTTCTTCGAAAGATCCGAAGTATTTGGCATGCTTTTCGTTAGACATGACATACTGAAAATTTAGAGAGCATCATGATTATATCGAGCAGATATTATGCTTAATAAAAAAACATTGAATATATTGTATATTATATCAGCCGTTGTTTCGTTAATTTCGTCTGCTCGCATCTCGTCGACTCGCATAAAGTTACATGGTAGTGTTTTGATTGTATGATTTGACACCCGAAACACTACCGTGTCTCCTGATCGTATGTGATAATGAGACTGTATCATTGAAATACATTGTCGATTGAATGTGAGTGAACGGTTACTACACAGTGACGTTAATTCAGTTTAGTAATAACCGTAGGTAGTGATTTTTTTGGAGTTTGGAGCATTTAATTGGACTACATTTTTGGATTTAAAAGAGTACACCAATTGAACATACAAGATCTCACTTATTTGTTACTAAGCCGTGTAAGCGTAGTGTTTCGGGCGTGTCGTGTTTCGAGCTTTCGCGCGCCTTTGGGAGTCTGCGTCGTCCGCCACAACGGCGTGGGATGGCGCCACCAGGCCCGGCGCGAGCGCGGCGCATCTAACCTGCCGGGAGAGACGCACAAGCGCAGTCGAGCGGTCAAGTCGAACGCAGTGATTCGGCGTCTCGGCGAGTGAAGTGTCTGTTGGTTGAGGAGTGATCCTGGACGTTGCGGCCTGTGCCTTCTTGCGGATCTGACGAGGACATAACGTCGCATACGGTGAGTGCTAGCAAGTAATCGCATCGCGAACACGTCGTTCTCGCGAACGCGCCCGTCGCCGCGCCGGGATTTCCGTTACTTCGGCTGCAAAAACCTGGCAAAATCGGAGTCGCGAGCGCGTCCGACCGGCCGGGGGGAACCGGCTTCGCGAAAGCAGGGGCTGATCTTGCGTCCGATCACGTGGAAGTCCCTGGAGAAGTCTCGTACACGATCGGAGTTTCGCTGAATCCCGCTGGGAATATCCGGGTCTATCCGAAGTACTTTCGGGAAAAGTCTTCGTTAGAAATTTTTTTCCCTCCCTCTCGCGGCGATGACAGGCGATTTTGGACTTCAGCGAGAATTATGCTATTCTAGGGAGAATTATGCATTGTTTTAAAATTGTAGAATTTTCTAGTAGAAGTGAAAATACTATTTCTGTGAAAATACTATTTCTTGATACTTTCTGCGAAACAGGAATCATAGTGATATATATATATATATATATATATGACTATACTAAAATGGAGACATGAACTCGTTTTAGGCAAATTAGTGGGAAATGAAATAAAATTTATGGTATATTCGCTAGAGTTATTGAAGATTTTTCATCAATTAGACCAATAGTTTAGGAGAAATACCGACTTTATCGCGCATGTAAATGTTATAAGATATTTAATGTCGTCTCTTGTTTATGGACATTCCTCTTTTTGTGTTTACACGATGGCATTTATGCGACGTGTCGTCGCGCTCGATTCAAGGTTAGCAGGGTCAAAGAGAATTACGGACCTGTCGTTGCCTAGCAAGAAGCACATTTCTTGTTCTCTTCCCCCTTTGAGAACGGGTGTAGAGGGCAGTTAATACTCTCCCGAGTCCATTTGCCATTTTGTTGGTTCGATGATATCCCATTGACGCAATAAAAATTTTATGTTGCTCAAATGTCTGCCATGTGCTGTTATCTTTTGCATTAATAATATTTTTCTAAAATCTTGTATCAGGTAATCAAATAATAAAATATGTAATATGCTCAGTTTCAGCGCGAATTAATGAAAAATTATACGATTAATATGAAAATCGTTGTGATATTCGTGATCATTTTATCGCTGGAAATATGTTAGAAAGACAAGTTTAAAAATTTCAGATAGACGTCTTGGTTTAATGATATTGGACGAAGTTGATAAGATTTTATTTGAACGAAATGTGATATTTCGTAAGGTCGAAGCATTCAGAGACAAAATACATGAAGTCTGATGACTTGTAAAATTCATTTTTTTAATTTGAATATTTTACATTTAAATAGTGAAACTTATTAAAAAAAATTACTTTTGAACAAAAATATGTTAATTTACATATGAATATACTTTTATTTCAAGTACTAATTATATATACATGTATTTTTATTAGAAATATAAAAATTATAATTATATATTTAATCTTATTTATTATTATAGTTTATTTAGTATTATAATATTATTTATTATTATTATTATTTTATTTATACAATTGAATTATATCTTAAATCGATAGAAACAATTAAAAATTTTTTTTCATTTCTTTTTATTCCTATCGTATTTATCGTGCGAGTCGCGATGGGCTTCTGTGCAATTATTTTTTCCACTTCCTCCTTCCCGCGAACGGGAACGTTAATTTCGCGGATTGAGATAGTATTTCGTATCTATTTTTCGTGGATCATAAGAGCGGCAGTCGTTGTGCGGTTTTCAATTCGTTCCTCCTGTGGTTTCACGATTCGTCCATCATCCGCGGTGCATTTCTCTCATACGTGTACACAAGTTGGATTTATTTTCGCACGTCGAAGAAATCAATGGCTAGCCTCTCTCTTTCTCCTCTCCTTCCTCTCCTTCGCGCGGTAGGAAAACCCTCCGGCTATGTTTTATCTGATTCATATGCGAGGCCCGTACGCGTGCGATCGCGTAGCCGATTCCGAGCACGGACCGCGAGTTCCGGTTCCTATTCAAGTAGCATCCTCCGCATCCCAGCGACTACACCACTCGACGTTCTCTTCTTCCTCTTGTATCGCGTATCGCCATGCGTGAATTTCGTTTCGCGCATCCCGCCTCGGTATCCGGCTCAAACATGACCGTGTTTCTCATCTCCCCAGAATCATCTCCAGGAATGCTCCGGTCGGCCCTTCGGCTCACTTGTAATTCGAAGGAGTTACAGATTTTTACGGGAACAACTTGGCGAGTTTTCATTATTTCGCCGTGCCGCTATTATTGTCTTCTCTCGTTTTTCCGATCTATTTATGCGCCACCGTAAATTAATTTCTTTTGTTTCCCTTCGCGCCGACAAAGAGATGGCGCGGATAGCTCGGCACGACGTCAACGAGCATTTAATTGCGGTGAAATTAACGCCAGCGAGGTATTACACAATGCCGCTAATAAATGAATCATCGAATTATTATAATATAAGTTATAAGTTGAATTGAATCGTGAGGATTTTGCAAATACGACGAAAGAGAGAAAGAGAAAGGCGGAAAAGAGAAACGGAGAAACGATATGATCGATATGTGTTCGGAACAGCTCCGGGGGACCTGTTCTTCATCATCAATTACGTCGGCTAGCTATTCGCAGAAAAAAAAAAAATTGCCATCATTGCCTTCGGTCTGTCTACGAGTGCATTCGCGAATCATTCTCGGATTCGAGATATCGAAAGCCGCGGTTATCGACCCCGCCCCGTCGACACGCTTCTGTCATTTTCTTTTTAACGCCGGCGAGGTGAAATCCTCTAACGGGATTTGGAGTAAACCATAAAAACGGCGCGAAGGCATTGCGGCATTGAATTTCTTTGTTCCAGCCGCACGCGGAAACCTTCATTTTGCCGCGGTCGGGAAAGGCAAGATATGTGCGCGCGCGCGCGCGCGTGTGTGTGTGTGTGTGTGTGTGTGTGTATGTACATAAAAAAAAAGAAAAAAATACACGAAAAATGTTTCGATAGTTTTCCTGTTTCGCGGCAGATATTTAGAGAGGGATTTGGATCAGTCGGTTATATTTTCGTTTGATACACATTAAATGTGAGTCAGTTGAAGCTTCCCATTTAATTTGTTCTCGGAAATAAATTTTTATTTTAATATAGTTCGATGAAGAGTCTTTATTTCGTAGGAAAGCAAATGTGTATACGAATCTCTACAATATTTTTGAAAAATAACAACAAATAAT